ACTACTACTACTACTACTACTACTACCACTACTACCACTACCACTACCACTACCACTACAACTACCACTACCACTACTACTACTACTACGACGACGACTACTACTACTACTACTACTACTACTACTACTACTTATTGAACGCTGAGCGAGCGGGAACTGCCCCTTGCGTGCGAGCCAGTCAACCTCGCAAGGTGCCTTATGATGGTGCTTTAAGCCAACGCCATCCTCGGCATCAGACTCATCAGAGAGGAGGAATGTGGATCGCATACGTAGGTAGAGACAGGAACAACGAAACAGTGAGGCCTGGTCAAATCGAAGTACCATATAGTGTACTGTACAAAGCTGTGGTACCTCTTACGTCAGCACTTGCTTGAAGGAGAGTTATCTTTTCAGTCTTCTCGATCTCACTGACTGTGTCGCAGCCGGTGGCAGTCTACTTTGTGCATGTGCTCGAAAGTGCACATTCTGAAATCTGCTGCTCCAAAAGCTCAAGCGATCCAGGTCCTGCTTGGAGCCCGATTAGCACGAACTACACAGCCTATTGCGAACCGAGGTGGCAACATGTGGCAACAGCAACACATTTCATTCACACGCAGCGGGAGNNGAAGTTGTCCTTGGGGGTGAAATACAAAGCGAGTGTTCGACCTGTTTCGCTCTGCTCTTATTCTACGGATTCCGCTACCGGTGCTGCTCACATCATCGCTGCGGGCCGTGCCGTAGCCCTGCACCCACACTCGTCTCGCCTCTGAGGGCTGCAGACTACGTTGATGCTTTGCAGAATTCGACATGAGGGGACTTTGACTTAAGGCACATCCATTCAGTAGGCAGTCATTGCAGAGTTTTTACCGAGAAGCCATTGCGTCTTCGCCTGAGACAGGTGAGGCCTAGCTCCCAACTGATGGGTCTGCGCACCACCAATTCCACACTACAGAGCAACCTATGCGGGAGAGAGACAAGCAGCAGTGGTAGGCCCGGCGCTGCTGCTGGCTCGTCGGATGTCACTCCTGCTTGCTGCGGCGGAGTAACTCCTGCCGCGTTTGGGGCCGTGGAGATGATTTCCACTGCCCCTGTGCCAGCATGTGAAATCGTGGCAGTCGCTGCTTTCGGCGACACCACCGGGTTCGGGGGAGCAGCTCCTCCCGAAAAAGTTAGAGCTCTCAGTCCTTCCGATCCGCTTCCAGGGTTGCGATTGGTTGGCCGATTCACTGCTTTCGGCGGAGGTGGACCAGCTAGGCCATGTATTGGCGTCGGCGGCGGAGGACCTTTGGGGAGGGACTTCGCATCCGGTGGAACAGCTGCAGCCAAGACCTCACCTTCCGAATCCTCGATCTCTTCCAATGATGGATCGCCGCACACTGTCTTTACGTCGTACCGGTGGTGGTGTTCTGGATGCACTCCGTCACTCTCCCCGTTTCGGAATCTCCGGCATTGGGACTAGTGAAGAGAGGGTGGACACTGTTGGCTCTCTAAGACCTTCACAACCACCACGACCATGACAGCAACACAACCACCAAGACCATGACAACACCAGCAGCAGCAGCAGCAGCAGCTGACAACAACAGCAACGGAGCCAACAACAACACCTTCAGCAGCAACTGCGTGAGAACGGCTTGCAGGCAATACGTAATGTGAAAAGCAGAGGAATCCACTTAACTCTCGGTCACAAAGCAGTGGTGCCAACGATCGGACACCAAGCAAGCAAGGCAAGCGAGGCAGAGATCAGACCAGAGTTGTATCCCGTAAGTATGATCACACAGGCAAGAGGTAACACGAGCACTACCCTAAGTGCAAGCGGACCTTTTCCTGGACTACACCAGAAGGTGAGTCTTGAGTAATCATATGCTGCGGGTGAAACCAAGTTGGCATGATCCTATCAAGATATCAAAGCGTACGTTTACACGAATCCTTGACAAATCACACTTGACATGATTATTTTAAAACAGCATTTCTGGGCGCTCGGCGCTCGGGTCCGCACAACGCTGCAATACTGATATGCCGTGCCTGCCGTGTTTTTCTACGTCTGAATGGACACAGCACAGCATCAAATAGGAGCAGAACGCCTACTACTACTACTACTACTACTACTACTGCTACTACTACTACTACTACTACTACTACTACTACTACGAATGCTAGCCAGGCGGGAGGCAAAATTACGAATGTTATTCTTACTACGAATGCTGTTACACTATTACTACTACGACTACTCCTACTACATCACCGCAACAAGGGTTTCGACATACGGATTGT